TCCCTCAAGTTGTTCCAAACTATGAGATTCTTTCTTCTGTTGAGCACAAAAGAAGATATTTGGAAGAACATGTTGCTGGTAGTCATAGACTTCCATAGTATGGGGGGAAAAAAATCTTATGGAAGTCAATGAGTAACTGTTTGGTTACACACATTCTTCAAAATATCATCTTTTGTGTTCAGCGGAAGAAAGAAACTCATACAGGTTTGGAACGAATTGAGGGCGAGTAAATGATGACAGATTTTTACATTTTTTGGGTGATATATCCCTTTAAGACTTCCTGAATGAGACCTTGTGTGAACGTTTGCTGTCTCTCTGGTCTTTCAGAACGGGACTTTGCGCATTGTGGACAGGAAGAAGCACATCTTTAAGCTGTCCCAGGGCGAGTACATCGCTCCTGAGAAGATCGAGAACGTCTACACTCGCTGTGTTCCGGTTCTCCAGGTCTTTGTGCACGGAGATAGTCTACAAGTAAGTGTAGACACTTTAGTACAGCAGTTTTGGGCATCAAGCTTAAACGGTAGGCCTATCCTTCTGTTTTCAGTGCAGTGACACTCACAGCAGTCTTGTGTTTCTCTGTGTGTTTAGTCTTATCTGATAGGAGTTGTAGTTCCAGACCCGGAGGTGTTTGTCGACTGGGCCAAAGAAAGAGGGATCGTTGGATCATATGAAGAGCTTTGTCAAAATCCTGTGAGCTTTAATGCCATACACAATACACACATTTATCTCCCTTCTGGTGACCAAACTACATGAAACATGCTTATATCACTTGTGCACACACGGTAATTTCTCAAGATATCAATAGTTTTAAAGGAATAGTTCACCTGAAAATTAAAAATTTGCTGAAAATGTACTCGCCCTCAAGCCATCCAAGATGTCAAAAAGTTTGTTTCTTCATCAGAACAGATTTGGAGAAATGTAGGATTTCATCACTTGCTCACCAATGGATGCTCTGCAGTGAATGGGTGCCGTCAGAATGAGAGTCCAAACAGCTGATAAAAACATCACAATAATCCAAGTAATCCACACCACTCCAGTCCATCGGTTAATGTCTTGTGAAGGGAAAAACTGCATGTTTATTAGAAAAAAAAATCCATCAGTAAAGATGTTTTTAACTTCAAACCGTTGCTTCCGGCTAAAATACAAGTTCATAATCCGTAATATTGCTTTCTTCAGTGGAAAAAGTCGTCTTGTATGAATTAGGAGAGAAATATGCACAGATCAAGCACCCATTTTAAGTGAAAACAATCCAAAACAGTTCTAACCAAATATGTTGGTGGATTTTGATGTGATGTGGATTATTATTATTTTTTTTACTAGAGGAAGCGTTATTATGGATTATGGACTCATATATTTTGGCCAGAAGCGACTGTTTAAAGTTAAAACACCCTGATGGATTTGTTTCTTACAAACACACAGCTTTTCACTTCTTCAGACTGGAGTGGTGTGGATTATTGTGATGTTTTTATCAGCTGTTTGGACTCTCATTCTGACGGCACCCATTCACTGCAGAGCATCCATTGGTGAGCAAGTGATGGAATGCTACATTTCACTAAATCTTTAGTAAATTCTCAGCAGATTTTCATTCTTGGGTGAACTGTTCCTTCAAACTGAATGACATTTCTTTCGGTCCCGTTTGACCGGCAGGATGTGAAGAAAGCCGTGCTGGAGGACATGACGGCAGTGGGGAAGGAGGCAGGACTGAAGTCATTTGAGCAGGTAGAGGAGCATTCTGGGTCGTTTACAACTTAATTGATGGCATGTGTCAATTATCACATACAGTATGATAAATGAGTCATCATTCATTGTTTTTAAAGATGTACAGTATGGAAATGCATTTACAAAGGAAGTCTAGCAGGCCAGTGTTCATCAGGATTGGGCAAGTTGTGGTGTTGTTAAAGCACTTGCATAAAATATTAAAATATGCATTACTGCTGTTGTGAAGTCCAGGTTGGAGTTTTTTGTTATGCATTGCCAGTGTAACTCCTGTGGGTGGAGCTGGTTCCATGTTAACCAGGGGTCTTCAGCAGGGGGTCTCCCAGTCATTGCTTGAGTTCCCAGTGATTTTTTTGTAAAGAGAAAAAGGAACCACAAAAAAAAAAGGGCAAATGTTCTCTCTTTGTTTTGGATTTTGTTCCGGTGGTTCCAAGGCAAATTTCCGGGGGTGGAGGGGGGATGACTTAAAATGATTTAAAATAAGACAAAACATACAGATTGTAAGTTATTTTAGCAAATTTTAATGTTTCTTATTTTAATTCAGCCCCTTAGCAGCCGTTTGTTCTCTTTTGAAGAACCAGTCTTGAAAAACATGAGTATATGAAGTAGCCTCATTTTGAAAATGTTGTTTGTAGACCTTGAAAAGTCATATAAATGTAAAAAATGGTGATTTTTTTTTTCTAGCAATGCCAAGCTCTAAAATATTTTGAGTAGAAATTGAATAAAAATATTTTTAAAATCCTTACTTTTGGGTTAGTTCACCCAAAAAAAATGCTAATTTTCATAATTTACTCACCCGCATGTCATTCCAAACCTGCACGTAGGGCTGCCACTAATGATTATTTTGGTAATCGAGTAATCTGTCGATTATTCTGATGATTAATTGAGTAATCGGATAATTATAATGAATGTTTTTGTGGTAATAAAAATAGACCTTTTAAAATGACTTAAATACATATATAATAGCAATGTGGCAATGATAATTAGTTCAAATAAAGTATCACAAGCAAGTAATCATTTGAGTTTATTGAACAAAACTATTAAAATAAATGCTCCACACATGTAAATGATAACAGTTCGCGTGGAGCAGCATTTTTTACTGTGAACGGAGCCGCTTTGACACACGCATGCAACCTGCACACATGTAAAAAATATATGTGATGCAGGATTAATATATGTGCTTTAATTATGATTTTTGAGGATATATGAGGACATCAATTGTGTTAAAAGGAAGCTCAACCCTACTTGCTTGACAGAAGGACAAATTAGGTTTGAACCTCAGTTGTTCTTCATACATTAAACAAGTATTTTTAAGCAGAATGCTTAATTTTGGGTGAACTATCGCTTAATACTTATCCAATAAATAATAGGATGAACGATTAAACAACTATTATGGAAAAGTCATGGAGCCTTGTTGTGGACACTTGAAGGCCTTGGAGTCAAATGTTTCAAAAGCTTCAGTTTCAGCTGTTTTCTCTCTCTTTCTCAGGTGAAGGACTTCTATTTGCACCCTGAAATGTTTAGCGTGTCAAACGGCCTCCTCACGCCGACCCTGAAGAGCAAGCGTGTGGATCTCCGGCGAGTCTTCAGCGAGCAGATCGCACAGATGTACAGTAAATCACCCATATAGACCTCACACGCTCTCCACAACACATTTATTTCTCTAAAACATTTGAACTAACTTCAGACTTGCTAAACAAGCCAGATGCTACTGACAGGAAACTGTTCTCCATAATTTATGATAAATCGTCTTCACATCTTTGCTTCTCATGTAGTGATCTAGATTGTGTTTTAGGTCCTTTTAGACAGCTTTGATGGTTTGAACTGAGGTCATATAGGCCTGACGCAGACACTCAATCCTAATACATAGTTCAGGAGCATTCAGTAGCATTTTCCAAGATTTGGGAACTGATGAACTTATTTTAATGAATAGTCTTTCGATCAGTGTTGTCGATACTTTACAGTTTTGTAAGTTGCACCTCTAAAGCACAATCTGTATGAATTGTAATGCTTTGTTTCATTTGTTGTGTTGCCATGAAATGACTGTTCAACAGTCTGTAAATGAGTGTTTTCAACTGTAAATGTTTGACTAATTGCAGCTGATAGAGATGTACTGTATTTTACTGACATACCTTATTACAGTTTTTCCTTTTCACACCAATCACCGCTCTAACTGACAAAATCAGCTGTTGTTGAAGCACAGATCTGATTGGTTCATGTGGATGTCACTTTGGTGAAAAGGCATGCCGATCTGTTGCTTACAAGAATACTTTACTGGTTCATTCCCAAGTAAATCCCAGTCCTGCCCAGACTGCAATACGTGTACTAGACGTCATTTTGGATGAAGGTGGCAAGATAAATGAGTCAGGAATTTTCAGACATTGAATATCCACAACCAATTTACTGTAAGAATGTTTGACAAGTAAACACAACAGCAAACAATTTGTTTAAAGGAATACAATTTTACAGACGAAAAACGCACACATTTTTGGGAAGCGTAAGGCTGTGGTCCAGAGAAAATGTTTTAGATTATTTCAGAAGTCAAACATTCATTTCTTTTAAAAGCAGTTTATAAGTTGCTTAGTAGATGCTTTATCCAAAGGGACAAAGGCACTGAATAGTTTACACTGGACTATAGTGAGCAACATACTCACTTACTGTGAAGGCACATTTCAAATAATGTCAAACCGAACCAATAATCTTTTGTTTATACAATCAAGGCTCTTCCAGTTTCAAAACTTCACTATATAGTGATTGTCAGTAACTGATGCTATTCACAACAATAACACAAATGAGATGAAAAATGTGTGGCTTAAATAATTGGCCCTTGTGTATTATGGCTGTAAGACTACTGGTAAATATATATATATAAACCGGTCTTTCCTTCATTACAAACACAATGAGCACAAACACAGGTCAGATACAAAAACAAAACAAAAGATGAAAAATGCTTCACGTGTGTCAGTAGAGGGAGGCAGAGTATCATTGAAATGCATGTAGCTCATCACAGAATCCACACCAGACTAACATGATTTCTGTTAACCGACATTCGCACTGTAACATTTTCCCATCTTCAACAATTCTCGGCACTGTTCCAGTGTTACACTATTTTCAGAAGATACTTTAAAAAGCATAAAAAAAAGCTGAAGAACATACTATTGTAGTGTTTGAACGCTACGGAAAACAAAATGTTCATCATGTATAAAAAAACTAAGCTTTAGCATATTATGGTTTGAATATTAATTTGGCCTGTGGTCAATGGGAAAGCTTTAAGATACACATGTAAATGATCTGTTAAAAATTCAATTGTTGGTCGGTTATAGTGACTGTAGTAACAAAAAGAAAAGACAAGACTAGAAAAACTAAACCCAGGAAGTTTGATCAACAAAAAGTGACTGGAAAAAAGAAAAGGTAATTAATTCCAGCTGAGATTCTAAACTTCATGCTAATTCCCGCTAAAAGGTTTTACAGTATCATCTGTGTTTTCTGATGGCTTCATCTGTCAAAATGACACACTATCACTATCAACAAAAAATAACAAACAAAAAAAGAGAAATAAATTAAATGTTGACGTGACTTCATTAGAACATCAGAGTAAGACGTGGGTACCAGGATGTTTTCTGTCTCAGTCGTTGGCCACGATGGACAGCGCGCGCAACTCGTTCAGTTTGGCCTCGTTCTCTTGCTTTCTCTGTTCATCTGTCAAACCGCCCTGATCAATCTGATCCGTCAGTTCAGTGAAGATCTTGTGCATCTCTGTAAAATAGGCCACCTGACAGAAAACAAAGGGAAAGAAAGGTCAAGTACACACAATTTTTACCATAAGAATGACATTTCAAACAGGAGTTTTTCACCTTTCCAATTTGAGTTTTCAGAACGTTAAAATGCGATCCAGTATGCCTCTGAACAACTTCCTGTTTCTTTGTCGCTTTACGCCACAACACAAAGCTACTTAGTGAATTATTGTGCATTAGTGGCGTAATTGGTCATTTTTATGTACCTTATCTTCATATAGTCACAGGGAATGATGGGAAAAGTAGTTTTGCAGTTCAATACAGTCTTAAGGTCTTTGCACACTGAGTCTGAAATTCTCGTCCGAAATTTTCGCACATTACAAAATAAATATGACCTTACACACTTGACTCCGAAACTTCAGTATGTCATAAAAAAAAAAAAAATAGGAACAGGTTCGATTTTCTGCGTTTTCGCATCCGTTGCAAGCATTTTGATAGGAAACGATGACGAATACAAAAAAAAAAAAACGCATATGAAATTTTCAGACTCAGTGTGCAAGGACCTTTAGTCTAATCTCTGGCTAATTTAATAGCATTTTCTGGACATCTTAATCACGGTCACATAAAATGTGTACAAACCGATAACATTCACAAATCCAGCTGCATATGATCAATGCCACCTAAAATCTGACATGATTATAATGGACACGCCCCTAAAAGTCAAAGCCACTCCCCTTCATAATGACACACCCGTTGAGCTGGAAAGTCAGACTCAATAAAACCCCCAAGATTCCCTACTGTGATGGTCTTCATCATGTAAATATGCTCATTCTGACAGGACACAGCCCAGTCTAAACTAAAATAGAAAATGACTGCATATCTGAGGCCTTAATTTGTACGTGAAATCACTTTATGCTAAATAAAGAACTTGACTTTTTCCAAAGAAGGGATATTCTTCACTCCCGCTCATACAGGAAAATGCTACGGCACAGAGATAACGCTCGTGGGTCTGTGGGTAGTAGCAGGTGACCCCGATCTTCTGCGATCGCTGTGTGAGCGAGCGAGTGTCGGCTGAAAGCTTTCTTGACACGTCCCGCCCCTGCTCTTCCCCCGGCCCGTGAGTCAGGGGTCCCGCGAGAGACGCTTTGATGATTAATAGCCTTTAATCACATTACAAGACTCCAGGAGGAGTGGGCCGCCATTGAAAGCGCTGGGAAATACAGCTGCTCGGCTCTCAAACCTACACACAGCACATTTATTCAAGCTGCTTACTGTATGTGCGCTCGCAAACAAATCCACATCTACTATGGCCTTAAAATCCAGTGAGGAAAAAAAAAAAAAAAACATTCTCAGGACAATACGAGTGGTGCAAAACTCATGCTACAGTATGTGGCTGCTAAGGTTTTCAAAGTGGTTTTTAGCTTGTGGTTGCTAGGGTGTTCTGAATGGTTGCTAGGTGGTTTCGAACCCTAATGACTTTCCTTAAACAGACAAAATAAAATAAAAAAAAATAAACAAAAACTACAAAATAGAGGTTTGTTCAAATCACTGACCCTAAATATGAGCAATAATAATAGCAATACATCATTTAGCAATACCAGTATGAATGTTTCTGAAAAGCAGAGCCCGTAAAAGCTAAATCTGAGTGGGAAAAGGTTTGTCTTTTACATGGGGCGATCAAACTGAAAAGCCATTTCCTCTTTGGTCTTGTTAGCTAGAGATACGGAGCAGAATTTCGATTGATGAACGCAACTCAACTCCATTGTTCACACAGGAGCCATCGGCTTCAGACACCCACGGATTGCAAAGACACTTTTTAAGGTTTTTGTAGGGCAGATGTATAAATGCGGCACCAAACACTGTGATGAAGCACATCTCTTTTGAATAGATTGTGTAAACTGCCTCTGGGATTGCTCGAAATGACTTCAGACTCTAATCAAAGACTCCACGCTGGCCGTCAGTGGCACTCTGTGATCTATGAGAGGCCAGTTCCTGCCCAGTGCTGAATGGAAGCGGATACTGGTCTGTCCTGTTTATGGTGGTCTCACCACATGAAGAGCGGAGAGGGGATCTGTTTGCCGTGCAGCACGTGGGGCTGGAAGGAAAACTAGTTCAGAGGAAAATCCGCCTTGGACCTGTCAGGGATCAATCAAAACAACCAATGAATGATGCCGCCACACACAAGCTAAAATGCAGGTACGGCACCGTATTTATGTCTCTGCTTCAGGCGGCACGCCCACAGACCGTTCATGAGCTGTATGATACATGTTGCACAGACAGGAGCTTTCTCGAAACAGCAAGCTCCAATTTGATTGGTTGGTTATGATGCAGCTTTTGGTAGTCAAGGCACACGGTCTGTAGAAACTACTTTCAAAAGATTCAAGTTGGCATAGTTCATGACATCACAGGTTTCAGTAGCTTAAGGCAGTTAGTAGCAAGAAAACGTGGCATCCTCAATAACTGCCCACTCCTGCTTTCATTCAGAGTTAAGTCCATTAAACAATCTACTTATTACTTTCAGATGGAAGGATATTCTGACCGCAAAGTCAACACACATTTCCAATCATTCCTTTGCTGCTGTCTGTTTAACTATTTGCGGAGACAGCTGCGCCATGATTCGAACGAGATACCACACCAATCTATTATTGTGGTTTCACCGATTTTAGATTTATCGCTCTTTAAAAATCACACACAGAAAAAAACAAAATCAACTGTGGTCATAGTTGAACACATCATCCAGACAGACCCTTCCTGTTTAAGCGGGTGATTCTTGACCAGAAAAAGCTTCAAAGGGAATTAGTATTTATGCTTCTGTCACACACACATTAATATATTCTAAACACACAGCTAATTAACTCATTAAACATATACACACACAAATTGTAAGACAGAGTCTACACTGTAAGCCACAGATGTCCAAAACTGAGTCTGTCTACACATTTAGCATCACGTCACCTCAGAATACTCAACAACCACGGACCAATAAGCTGTAAACAAAAGGCTACCTGTTAAGCGACAATAAAGTGAAAGCAAAATTTGGTAAAAATATGTCTGTAAAACTGTCCATTCATCCATTCTCCACACCACTTGTCCTCTATAGGCCGAGGCCGCGAAATACTCCCTGGATGGATGGCCAGTCCATTGCATGGCTAAAGCTAAAGTACAACTAAAGTCTAGGACAACAGCACATGTGTGAGTAATTTGGGTGCTCGAAAACAAAAGGTCCAATAGGTAGTGTGAATACACAGAACGAGTCCATCAGTGCTCATGGTCAATAGAGAATACTCTGTTGGAGATGTAGCAGAACACAGAAAATGAAGTATTGCCAGGCCTTAACAAACACAGACTTACACGCATTCATACTCACACCTACTGACAATTTAGTGGTTCCAATTCAGCTGACTTGCATGTCTTTGGATTATGTGGGAAACTGAAGGAAGCTGGGACTTGAACCTGGCACATTCTTGCTGTGAGGTGGCAGTGCTACCCACTGAGGCACTGCACCCCTTGTAAAGTTGTTGATATTGTAAAATTACTTATTAGTATCCCAACAATCAATGGAACTGCTGGATTAGGTCTCAAGCTGTTCTTTAGCATTGTTGAATTTGATGCACCATCTTTAGAGCACAAAGTATTTCTCTTCATTCCAGCACTCTGTCTAGCTCAGGCGTTTCCAACCCTGCTCCTGGAGAACTGAACTTCCTTCCTGCAAGCTTCAG